AATCTTATTATTTTTTTTTACAGATTTTACTTTTTTTTTTTTTCAAATGTCTGTTTTTCAGATTGAGTTTTGCGGAGTTTTAAATTGGACATTACAGGTCCCATTCTCTTTGCTTCAAGCATGATACAAACACTTGTCACCCACACTGACCAACACAATATTGTTACTAATTCCATGCAGACCAATAGAAATGTGCTTTTTTCATTTTTGAAGACCAGTTTGAAAAGAATGGAACTGGTAAAATGCAATCAGAAAAACAGAATTTTGGAAGAAAAAAACAGAACAGGTAAATGTACAATCCCTAAAAACATAAAATATATATATATAATTTGAAAATATCCAATCTGTTAAAAATCTGTTTTTTTTTTTCATTGCAACAATACTGGAACAAAAGTGCCCCCATACTCCAATAAATAGCTGAAAAATGTTACAGATTTACAGCTTGGAGAACTCCACCACCCTGACCAACCTGTTTTACTACAAACGTTTTAACACTCATAAAAAAATAATGTTAAGGAAAACCCAATTTACTATTATTTAACAGAAAATTCTAGACGTATGGAAGCAAAAACAAAAGTTTTTTAAGAAACCAGCGTTTCCTGCTTTCAGGGTTTCTTTTTGATCAAGTTCAATCTGTGCCTCAACACAGAGCAGGCTGGTTTATACTCTTGAAATGTGTTTCATTTCGATCCTCTGGAATCTTTGGGTGTTTAGTCTGAAGCCTGGGAGCAGCAGGGAGGGGTGGCTTCTTAGAATATATGAGGTTTGCTCCATTGGCTATTTAAACCTCAGCAAAGCATTTCTTTGAATGAGTCACTGGATTTTTCTGAGTAAGCTTGGCCTGATATAAACACTTTGTCACTCTTCATCTTCTTGGAATCAGAAAGCAGATTATAGAAATGTCTGTTAATTCTTTACATCTCTATGATTGCTGCCAATTAGCCACAGCATCTGCCCCCCTAAACAGGTACAGTATCTTGACGGGCTGTTTCTCTGCAGTTCCGCGGACAGACGCAGGTCCACCTGGATAAAAACTTCTTCTTGACCCACGCTCAGACGGCCAGGTCAGAGACCTTCATCAACCTGCGGGAGGTGACCTCCCGCTTCAAGCTGCCGCCTGGAGAATACCTGATCGTCCCATCCACCTTTGAGCCACATCAAAATGGAGATTTCTGCATCCGAGTTTTCTCCGAGAAGCAGACAGAGACAGTGTAAGAGCCAAAAGCCACCGGTTCTGTTGGGTTTGTAGGGCAAGAGGACCAGAACCTCCTCCTTCCTCTTTCCTGTTTCAGATTTCATCTGACTCCAGAATAAAAGAACCAATTTCTAAATGTTTGTTCTGTTTTCAGGCCGTGTGATGACCCGGTCAGTGCAGAGCTCACGGACGTAAGTGATGCCCCGCCCACATCTTTTGTTATTGCCGCTAATTAGCAGGTAACAGCTGCTAGTTGGTTAACTGCTGTGCTTTGCCTTTTTTGCGGTGATCGTGTCCAGGAGACGGTGTCGGATGAGGAAGTAGATGCAGGGTTCAGAAACTTGTTCTCCAAACTTGCAGGAGATGTAAGTCTGACAGTGACTCACCGCAGCCAAGCAGCTGTCTCATTATGCACTGTGGTCATGTTCAATCCTTTTAATGGAACCAGTTTGTTGTCATTTCTTTGTTTAACTAAAACCAAACGGTGAAGTGCTAATATACAAGTTAGACTCTGCTTGTCCTGGTTCTGAAGCTTTTTTTTTTATCGATGGTGGTTAAGGCATTTCCTGGTGCACTGGAAAAAAGGGGAGTATAAAAACAAGGAAGAAAAAAAACAGAATACGTTAAATTTTCAGTTCATTTTACCTAACAAGGTTTCTTAATTTAGGATTCTAAAATCTAACCATAAGCATAGTCAACATGTAAAATTAGAAATTATGTCCTAAGACAATATAAATTATCAAACACCTCCAAAATCTACGTTTTTTTACTTTGGTAAGAACCAAATATTTGCAGTATGACTGTTGGAGGAATCAAAGTCCTCTTCCTGCAGCTGTTCTGCAGCAGAGGAAGCTCCACTGGACTGCGGATTCTGATCCACATCCAATCTCCAATCCCTGCTGACAAACTGAGGACAGATGTATTTGTTTAGATTTCAAATGCTTCATTGATTCATTTAAAGCTTCCCTGCCTCGCAGTCTTTGGAAATAAACTAATCAGGAAGTCTCTGAGCTGCCTTGGAGAGTTACCGGCATGGCAGGTGTTTAAGGGAGACAGGAAGGGTGTTTATCCCCTGCTGACTGACTGCCTTCTGTTTCAGGACAAGGAGATCTCTGCATGCGAACTGAGGACCATCATGAACAAGATTGTCGGCAAACGTGAGCCAAAGCTTCGATAAGTTAAACTTGTTAAAGAGGAGCGGCTGCAGAGATGACTTCCTGTGTTGTTGTTTTTTGACAGGAACTGACATCAAAACGGATGGATTCAGCCTGGAGACCTGCAGGATCATGGTCAACCTGATGGATGTATCTTTTAGCAGACATGAATGATTGCTATTTAATTAGAATTTACTGTCAGTCAGTGTTCAACCTGTCCAGACACCTTTAAGTGATCTTTAACCTGCAGCAGGACAGCGGGAACGGAAAGCTGGGCCTTGGAGAATTCGCCACTCTGTGGAAGAAGGTGCAGAGATACCTGGTGAGCTTTGACCTTTGACCTGTGAAGCCAGATGTACTCCTGTGTTTGGGGATTTGAGTATATCTGAGTGTGTGTTTTTTTTTCTGCTCCTGCAGTCAATCTATAAGCAGAACGACACAGATAACTCTGGAACGATGAGCACTCCGGAGATGAGGGTGGCCTTTAAAAATGCAGGTGGGTCTGTGAATGTGGTCTTCCTGTGCCATGTGTAATGTGCAGGAACTTCCTGTTTGCCACGCTCGTGCCTCATGCTTCAGCAGCCTGTGAAGTCGGAGCAGCAGCATTCTTTAAACTGTCTCCGTTTGATGTGGTTTGGTTGTGAATCCTCAGGTTGACTGTGATCAACACATAGTTCCGGTTTTGCTTGCTAACGGGCACATCTGCTCTGGTTCTTCCTCTTTTCATTGAGGAAACACTCCCTCTGAGTGTTCATTGAACACATGCCCCCACTCAAACTTCTCCTCCCCTTCTTCTTTACTCTCACATTATCCAACATGAGACCTTTTTCCACTGAAAGCCTCGTGTCATGGTGTTTTTAAGAGATCTGACCCACATGCAGAAAACCCCTCAGAGAAACCAGAGTAAATGTTTAACAGGTTTATTGAGGAGTTCAAATGGGTTGGATTCAGGGGAACTCAGAGAGCTGGTGAACCGGAACCGGAAGTGAGAAGGGAAGTTCAAAGAGGTTGGTTCAGGGTCCGTGGGAATTTTGAACGACGTCTTGCAAAAACAGAGATAAACGGGACTCACGTTTGCGGAGAAAGTTTTTTTTTCCCAGAATCCAGTCCGTATGGGATTTTTCAGAGATAGAGGGGCTCATTGGAGGGCGGACAAGTTTTGGTTTAGTTGGTTCCAAACACCTCGGGATTTAAACCCTCTGGATTTTTTTTCTGGGGTAATAAGAATCCCAGAGAATTCATCAGCCTGCTGTTCCTTTTTATTCTCAAAGACCCCAGGAAATGCATTTTACTCAGTCAGATAAAAACCTGCAGTACACCATCAGTCCAGCGGGTGGCGGTAAAAAGAACACGCAACTGGATTAACTTTTTCCCCTCAATCATGTGATTAACTATTTACTCATTTTGAAACACAAAGTTTTTGTTAGTGTTTAAAGTCGTAGGAAAGTCATATTTAAATGTCAAATCATTCTGGCTTCTACGTTTATATAAATGTACTCTGTCTTTAAAATATGTGGGGTTTTTTCATGGTTATTTTATGCAGGCCAGTTAGTTATACGTCAGCCTGTACACCTAAGTTCAGCCAATCATATATTAATGGTCATCTGTCAATCACATTTTTTCGAACATAGCATCTTGATTAATATGTCGCAGCTAATATACGCAGCTGACAAATGATAGTACTGGACCAGCTGTGGAGTTCATGTGGTTGATTGATTCCTTCCAATATTTATAAGTTTAAGTACTTAAAAGTAAAAAAAAAAAAAATGTGATATTTATGTTTTTATCAAAATGCATCTGGTCTTCACAATATACATTTATCTCCATGTAAACATAACCTATATATTGTACAGGAACTACAGTGAGTTAGCTATAACTGGGGATTCCCAATGCCAGACTCCGTTAGCTTAGCTTGCCTTGCAGACACACTAGTCTGCAGCTGAATTTTGTTGCTCCAGAAAGCGTAGGCCTATTTAAAAGTAGGCTCATAATCTTGAACTGAAACAAATAAAGTTTTGAAGTGAAATTCCTCGCATAAAAACATCTTAAAGCAAAATTTGGTGACCAAGTATATAAACAGAAATAACCGACAACTGGCCGACATTATGGCTGCGGTTGGAGCAGCCTTGGTGCACAGAGCTCCGCTGCTCTAACACAGATTTAGAATAGGCTTTTTGTTGACAAACTGACAAGGCAGATTACCATTTTGACGTGCATCTTTATCTTAGAACTTCTTTTGTGACCAGTCAGAGTATTTAAGTTGCAATTGTACATTCACCATCTTAATTTACTTTTGCTGCCGGTGGAAGAAAGCACTGCTGATTAATTGCTGAACTCCTCTTCAACAAGCCTTTGGTATTTTTGAAATTACTGAGTTTCTGGAAGGACCAAAAGTGCCGGGAGAGTAGAGAACCAAAAAAGTGAGGTGATCTGGCTAAATGTCTAACAAAATGCTACTCAAAAGCAGGTGGCTCTCGGAATCTGAAGGTTGTTTTGGGCAATTTCTGAAGTCAAGGAAAATATGTGGAACAAGTTCAGTCAAGTCAGTTTATTTGAAAAGCACCAATTTCTAGCATATGTATTTTCTTAATATGCTTTACAAAGAAAAACTATTTTGTTCAATCATACGGAAAGATTCCAAGTCTAAATCTTTTCCAGCGAATCCTTATTATGAAAAAGTGTAGTTAAGTTTGCTTTATCTTTTATATTTGTTGGTTTTCTAGCCATACATGAAGTACTTTCTATTTTAAAGAGAAAGTAAAAGGTTAGTTCCAGTATAAGCTTCTGTCTAAAAGATAAAGAGATACTGTAATGGCTGAACAGAACCAGGCCAGGCAACCTACTGAAAACATACTGTTGAAGATTTTAAAAAACTGCAAATAATCCTAAATTAAAGAGCAGTAGGAGAGTGAGGGAAGGTCATCTTCATGTCCTCCAGCAGCCTAAGCCTATAGCAGCATAACTATAGAGTAGAGATTGATACATGGGCCGACTTTCATCAGCATCGTTTGATAAGTGCATGTGTTAGAAAATGTATGTATGCATTCAGCAGCAATCCATGCCTTCAGATTATGTGGAGTACATGCATTGCCACGCCTCTCCATTTGTTATTAATTGTTAATGGTTTTTTTTGACGTTTCTCATTTGTTCAAATTGAGACCTGTGTAACAATTATTCCTATTGTGCCATTTTTTTCTTGCAAATGGAGGAAGAAAAACCAATATCACTCTAAGAATCAAAGAAAATTTCAGCATCACATATTGGGGATTAGTTAGACTTATATTCTGCCTTTTATTTGTCTGTCTATATGGGATATGACCTCCAGCTCAATAGCAGATATTCTAAGGCCTATAATCTAGGCTCTCCCAGTTAAAGTCCCTCTAACGATGGAGAAAAGAAATTGCTCAATCCCAGTTTCACGATAAAAGAACATAGAAGTAGATAGAAGAAAGCTGCAACTGAAGTTAACTACAAAAACAAACAAACAGCTTCACTGTGATGCGGCGAAGCCTTAGTGGGTGGAATGGGAGCTTAGTTACCACTTTTTACTGGAAAAATACCAGCCCAGCCGAGTGGGAGGGGCTGGCTCCCACCAACATTCCTAGGATAACTGGCACACACCCCTCTGTGGTTAGGATGAGTCATCACCCAGGCCTTCTACTCTACACAAATCAGTCCAGAACCTTGTTTTTGAGGATGCAGCTTTAGTTCCTGGTCTCACTGTGTTGCAAAGTGTCAGTGTGCAAAGCAAACAAGAAGGTTGGTGAGCAGCACTGACCTTCAGAGCATGATCCTCCTGTCCATTAAGAAATCACCTATGACATCACCAGTGTGTTGCTGGATTCCCCTTACCTCAGTGATATCCTTTTTGACTCTACATAGCCTGGCTGGACCACTAAAGTCTCCTGTGTAATAAACTGCTGTTACACATTCATACCTCTGTTAGATGTCCCATGGTAATTTACAAAACAATTTTATTCCCTGTATTTAAAACCTATCTAAACTGAAGTATTGTTTTATCTGGAATATCCTTCTGTCTAGTCCAGCATTCTGGTCGTATTTAGATGGTATTAGGAGAAGAAGTGACTCATCTGGGAGTCTGAATGAAGGAGGAACCCTGAGTTCTTCTTCGACAAGTTCAACTTGACTGAGTGTGATGCTGTGTCCGCTCAGAGCAATGCTTGATGGGAGATCGGCCTTTTNAGATACTGTAATGGCTGAACAGAACCAGGCCAGGCAACCTACTGAAAACATACTGTTGAAGATTTTAAAAAACTGCAAATAATCCTAAATTAAAGAGCAGTAGGAGAGTGAGGGAAGGTCATCTTCATGTCCTCCAGCAGCCTAAGCCTATAGCAGCATAACTATAGAGTAGAGATTGATACATGGGCCGACTTTCATCAGCATCGTTTGATAAGTGCATGTGTTAGAAAATGTATGTATGCATTCAGCAGCAATCCATGCCTTCAGATTATGTGGAGTACATGCATTGCCACGCCTCTCCATTTGTTATTAATTGTTAATGTTGTTTTTTTTTGACGTTTCTCATTTGTTCAAATTGAGACCTGTGTAACAATTATTCCTATTGTGCCATTTTTTTCTTGCAAATGGAGGAAGAAAAACCAATATCACTCTAAGAATCAAAGAAAATTTCAGCATCACATATTGGGGATTAGTTAGACTTATATTCTGCCTTTTATTTGTCTGTCTATATGGGATATGACCTCCAGCTCAATAGCAGATATTCTAAGGCCTATAATCTAGGCTCTCCCAGTTAAAGTCCCTCTAACGATGGAGAAAAGAAATTGCTCAATCCCAGTTTCACGATAAAAGAACATAGAAGTAGATAGAAGAAAGCTGCAACTGAAGTTAACTACAAAAACAAACAAACAGCTTCACTGTGATGCAGCGAAGCCTTAGTGGGTGGAATGGGAGCTTAGTTACCACTTTTTACTGGAAAAATACCAGCCCAGCCGAGTGGGAGGGGCTGGCTCCAACCAACATTCCTAGGATAACTGGCACACACCCCTCTGTGGTTAGGATGAGTCATCACCCAGGCCTTCTACTCTACACAAATCAGTCCAGAACCTTGTTTTTGAGGATGCAGCTTTAGTTCCTGGTCTCACTGTGTTGCAAAGTGTCAGTGTGCAAAGCAAACAAGAAGGTTGGTGAGCAGCACTGACCTTCAGAGCATGATCCTCCTGTCCATTAAGAAATCACCTATGACATCACCAGTGTGTTGCTGGATTCCCCTTACCTCAGTGATGTCCTTTTTGACTCTACATAGCCTGGCTGGACCACTAAAGTCTCCTGTGTAATAAACTGCTGTTACACATTCATACCTCTGTTAGATGTCCCATGGTAATTTACAAAACAATTTTATTCCCTGTATTTAAAACCTATCTAAACTGAAGTATTGTTTTATCTGGAATATCCTTCTGTCTAGTCCAGCATTCTGGTCGTATTTAGATGGTATTAGGAGAAGAAGTGACTCATCTGGGAGTCTGAATGAAGGAGGAACCCTGAGTTCTTCTTCGACAAGTTCAACTTGACTGAGTGTGATGCTGTGTCCGCTCAGAGCAATGCTTGATGGGAGATCGGCCTTTTACTGTGTGTTTGTTCTGCCTAATGTTAGTTGTGTGTTCAGCGTGATGCTAGATGTGTTTGTAAATAATGCTGCTTGCAGTTTTACACCACAATGCTGGGTGTGGGTTCAGCATGCTGCTAGGTTGGTGTTCAGTATGAGAATAGCCGTTTGTTCAGTATAATCTTTTTGTTGTGTATTCAGCTTGATGCTAGGTGTGCTCAGCATAATGCTAGTTGTGTGTTCTGCACATTGAAGACATTTTGATTTCAGTAGAGGAGGGAAGGCAAGTATTTTTTTTATATAACTAACTTTAGACCTGATTCAGTGCCGCATAAGATGTTTGAAACATGAGCTTCTCAGAAGTGACAGAGGGGACAGCCAATCACGCAAGAAAAGACGGTGGGCCAATCAGGAGCTTCTAAACTCAGGGAAGCGGGCTTAAGCTTGACCTGCGGTTGTCCGCATGGTCCAAGTGCTCAACGATTGTCTGTGTACTGTAGCAGAACATTGTTTTTGGACAGTAAAATGTGCAGAGGACCCAAACGGACCCCACCCCAAAATTACATCCATGCTTCAGCGTGATGCAAACGTATATGAAGCTTGATGCTAGGTGTGTGTTCATCATAATGATCAGTGTGAGGCTAGGCGTGCGTTCAGCATAGTAAAGGCTGTGTTCAGCATAATGCTTGGTGTGTTTAGCCGAATGTTAGGTGTTTTGCTTAATTCTAGTTTTGTTCAGCATGTGGCTAGGTGTATCTACAGTGTACTGCTGCTTTGTGTTCTGAATGATGCAAGATAGGGCTGCAATGCGGCCCACTTTGTAGCACTTTTGCATTACAGCAAAAAGGTTTTTGGTCCGATTCCCGGCCTGGGGTCTTTCGGCATGGGGTTTGCGTGTGTGCTCTCCAGGTACTCTGGCTTCCTCCCACAGCCCAAACATAGAATAGAATAGAAAATCCCTTTATTGTTTCACAATGGGGAAATTCTGGTGTTTACAGCAGCAAAAAGATTATAGAAAAAAGAAAAACATTTCACACAAATGTGGACCTTAGAAAAATGTATAAGAATAACATAACAGTGAAATGTTAAAAAAATAAACAAATGAAATACTGTAAAGTGTTTTAACAATATAAATAGTGTTGCGCGGATGCCATTTTTTGGCTCCGATACCTGGCTGTGCAGTATTGATACCGATATGTAAAATAATTTCCATCATAGCTTTGTCAAGCTGCTGCCTACCTTAGTGAAGCAGGAAGCAGACTAATACAAAGTTAATCCAGTAGAACTTTTTATTACCTACCTGGAATGGGTGACAATATAACTTTTGGTTCTCGAGATGGTAACGGTGCCCTATTTGTTGGTACTCTTTATCGGTGCAACACTTATAAATACTGTCCACTGGGAGAATAAATAACCAATATCCAGCTATGGACATTTTGACAGTAATGAATATCTAAAAATAGCAGCAACATCAGAGATGTCCAAAATGACAGCAGCACATTATTTAACTGACTAAAGTAGAAACTGTGCAAAATCAGCATGAATGTAACAATTAATTGAGGTTGTTGGGAACAAAATGTCTTAATTAGCTTCTTTAAAATGTTCTCTTAAAGGTGATGTTGAATTTATGTTTATTGTAATACTGGGTGCGTGCTCGGTGTAAAGTGTGTGCAGCAGAATGCTAGGTTTATATTCTTTAGCATGCTAGGTCAGCAGGATGGTAGGTGTGTTTATTGTATTGTTAGATATATGTAAGTAGTAAGTAAGTAATGTTATTCGCACCTTTCACAGACATAGAGGTCACAAAGTGCTTCACATAATTTAAATACAAATAAAATACATTTACAGTCACAAAAGACATGGTCATAAAACAACCAAATTAAAATGCTTTCTTAAGCAAATAGGTTTTCAGTTCACTATTAAAGACATCAACAGAATCAAGTTAACACAAGGTACAGGAAATCGTTCCAGAGCGCCGCCGCGACCACCAGAAAGGAGCGATCTAAATGGGAATCAGAGTTTAATATGACAATTACGGATAAAGACTGGATAGATATGTGGAAAACACAACAGACATCTACTAATTCGCGGATATGGAGGGAGTTTGCATGGAAGAACCTTATACGTTTTTTCATCACGCCTAAAATCAAGAATAAATATAGTAATANTGGATAAAGGCCTTTGAAAATGAGAGACAATAAGGTAATAATGAGTACAAGCCCCCGAGCAACAGTTTTGGTTCCTTTTTATTTTGGGTAGAGGTGGATGTGTTGTGTTCAAGTTCACTGTATATGTAAATAAATGTAAAAATTTCAATAAAAAGTTAAATGTTAAAAAAAGAAAGGAGCGATCTCCCCTGGTCCTTTAACAAGGGACCATGAGCAGGTTCTGGTCCTGAGATCTCAGCCTCCGAGAGCGGGTATATGGACACAACATACTTTAATGTAGGACGGAGCATGACAATGAAAGGACCTGTATTGAGGATAAAAAGTGCCAAAATTAAATAAATAAACACAGCATTGTTCGTACAAGTCAGTAACCTCGCCGCGGAGTTCTGAACCTGCTGCAGACGAGACAACTCCTTTTTGTTTAGACAGGAGAAAAGACTGTTACAGTAGTCTAAACGGTGTGGGTAATCATTTCAAGATCATCTCTGGAACCAATTGTTCTAAGTTTAGAGATGTTCAGTGTGATATCTCTTCCAGACGATGCTAAATCTGTGTTCTGTATGATGATATGTGTGTTTGGTGTGACGCTTGGTGTCTGTTTCAGATGATGCTAGGTTTGTGTTTAGGCATTTCCTGTACATCTCTATTTTTTCTTTTTTGTATCTAACTTGTTGTTTTTCTCTGCTGCTGCTCCCAGTGAGCTGATGGAGACGGTACGTTACCTCCTTCAATCTTTTCTGTCAGTTTTTCTTTCAAACTTTCCTTCATTTACTGTTTGAAACCACTGTCATTAGTTTGAGTCTGAGTTCTGTTTAACGTCTGAATTAATGTTAAGTCTATATTTGTTTCAGGTTAGTTCTGTTTATTCAGTAAATCTTTACACAGCTTTGGATTTAGTTAAAGTTATTATACCCATCTGATGTGAGGACAAAACAAATCTGCCGAAATAAAGACACATTTCTAAATACCAAACTCATTTTAGCTCGGATTAACTTTATTCTTCATTTCTTTACCCTTGTTTTCCGTGGTTTATTTATTGCATTGAATATGTCGTAATCAAAGGCGTAAATTTTCTTTGCTAAGGGATCTACTCACAAATAAAATTTGTTTGTATCAGAATAACCCATTTAAAAACATTTTTTCCTGTTTAACTTTTGTTTTTTCAGTTGATAAATCAGTTGTTTTACCTTGTCTTCATGTTAGTAGGCATTTTAGATGCTCTGTCCAACTACGTCTTTGTCCTCCTGCAGGTTTCACCCTCAACAACACTATTTACCAGCTGCTGGTGGCCAGATACTCTGAAACAGACATGACCATCGACTTTGATAACTTTGTGGGGTGCCTGATGAGGCTGGAGATGATGTTCAGTGAGTCTCATATAACCATTCACCAGAACAACATTTACCATTCCTAAAAACCCAGTCTGTTTACTGAAGCAGACATTGCACCATTTTCTTTTCAATGTTGTTAAAAGTTCTGTTTCATAGATCTCCAGCTCTGTTCAACCCTGAATCATGTGTTTCATTTTCCTCTTCAGAGATCTTCAAGAAACTGGACAGCGAAGACAGCGGCTCCATTGAGCTCGACTTTAATCAGGTGAAAATGAAACTTGTTTATCTGCTTATTAATAGTTTCATAACTACTTTACTTTAGTCACAGCTTACTAACCATTTTCCAACAGGTAATAACAGCTTATAAATAGCTTAGTTACAGCTTATTAACTGTTCATTTTAAGAGTTTAGTCTCATATTTATTGTAGCTTAGTTACAGCAAATTACTAGATATTCGCAGCTTATTTAGTTTAGATACAACTCATTTCAAGTTTAGTTGCAGCTTATATACAGTTAATCTACAGCTTATCAATCTAAATGCATCTTATTCACAGAATAGTTTCATTTTAACTGTTTAGTTACAGCTGATTAACAGTTTAGTTAAAGTTTATAAAGGGCTTAGTAACAGCTTGTAAACAGGATAAACTTATTAACTAGATTCAAATTTTTAAGTTATACATGTAAAGTAAAGTTCAGTTGAGTGGATTAAAACAAACAACATTCAAGTTAAAAAGTTATAGATTCTGTTTCATCTTTTAGACTTTTTAAACCCAGTTTTACAGGAAAGATGATCAGTAGCTTTTTATGAGAGGATGGGTTTGATTATACCACCAACCAAGTCTTTTTCCACTTATTTCCAACTTCATAACTTCACAGCCCAATTAGAAATAATGTCATGATGGCAAAGAATAGTTACACAGCAGATTTACTGTATTTATATCAGCATACGTTGAGCTCAGAAACTGATCCTTGATCTCTCTCTGTTTCTCTTGCAGTGGTTAAACTTCGCCATGATCTGAACCAGAACCTTTCTGGGTCGGTCCATCGCACCGTTTACAGCTTTAGCTTCTCTTTCTGATACAGTTTCTGACATTTTTATGAGTATTTTATCTTCTACACCAACTGTCTCATAAAGCCAATAAATGTACCTACAACACATGTGGTTTGTGTCCTGATGCTGTGCAGGTTTGTAAAATAGAACCTGTTAGTAAAGCCAGAACAGACAGACGGCTTCCAGCTGTTTTTACTGAAAGCTTGAAGTAGTTCAGTTGGATGTTTTCCTCTCCAGGGTGGTACACATCCTGTATGAGACCCAGACATCTGTCAACACCCCGCAGCAGAACTTTGGTCTCACTGTTTCCGGGGGAAAAAACAATATTTGGTTCCTCCAGAACAACAGTGATTCAGCAGAAAGTCATCTTGTCTGCTCTTTTATCAGCTCCTCATAACTTTCCATTACTTCAGTGAACTGAACCAACTTGGTGTAGATAGGATTTTTACCAGAAACAGGTGAAATGTTTTACTGAAACACTCATTTATCAATTTCATGAATTCAGTTCAGATTCACAACAAGTTAATATTTATATACTGAAAAATAAGCCAGTAGTCTGGCTTTGTCCAGAATCTGGAGTTTTCCTACCAGTTCGCTTGTTCAACCGTCGCAGTTGCTGTAAATTGCAATTTGAAAAGAAATCTATTTGTAAGACCTCCTTGTAAAAAAATAGAAATTTGAAAAAAAAAGTGAAAATTTCAAATGAGTAACAAAATTTGTAAAAAAATAAAAAATAAAATAAAAAGAGTTAACATATAAGATCTGTAAAAAAAAATATCTTTGTAAAAATAAAAATTAATCAAAAATAAAGATTTGAAAAAAACTTAAAAAATAATCTGATAAATTAGAAGTTTTTTTAATGCCAATGCCTTTTTTTAAATTAAAATTTTTTTACAAAGTTTAATTTCTGGATTCCATTTTTCAGTTTTAATTTTACAAAATCTGTTTTTTCAAATTTCCATTTGTAAAACATGTTCTTTGCAACAATGATGGAACAGAAATGACTGCATAGGGTTGCGGACTCCTAATCTATCAAACAAAAACTGGTTTTAACTTAGTACTAAGTAAATCATTGTTCAGGTAAATTTAAAACAAAATATTAAATCGGTTCAAATCAGTAATGGCCTCATCTGTCAGTGCATATCTTAAAAAAAAGTTCTCATTTTATTCCATCTGAAAATTGTCTGACTTCTTAAGAAAAACGGACTTGCTTTTATTTAATTTTTTGAATAGTGTGTTTTTAATATAGGGGCCAGTTCTAAAGGGCCACTGGCCCCTTATGTCCCTTACTTGAATCCACTTTGCTCATCATATTGACACCCGAGCATTAACCATAAACGTCCTGTGGAGGGCGCTGTTCAAAGAACCCCCCCTGTTGGGTGGAGCACCGCCCCTCCTCAGGGTAGGGCTGCTGCTGCTGCAGTGTAGCATCCTCCTCAGCAGCATCCGGAACAGAACCAAAGACAGCAGGAATCAAAGCGCATCCCGGCCGAACCGCAGAGCAGCAGAACAGGTGAGGAACACGGTGGGCTGGAAGTAAAGCTGGATTCCGACCCGGTCTGGGAAACGTGGTCCGGATGAGCTGCTTCGATTGTTTTTTAAACTGATTTAGAAATAATTAACAGGCAATGTGTCCAAGGCGCGCGCCCAGACAGGTGTTACCTGAAGGTTCTGGGTGGGAAGAGGTCACCTGATCAGGAGGTTCTGAAGGATAGCTTTAAATCTGTCATCATGGTGCTGACGGATCAAAGTCTGCAGGCTTCTGATCTGAGATCAGCTGATTAAATCAGCAGGTGAGTTCTGTCAGGTTCCATCTGCTGTTCCTGATGATGCTTCTGGACCAGGACAGGATCACTGCTGTGTTTAAAAGATTTACCTGTTTGAAGCTAACAGTCCTGAAACGGACCAGCTGATGGAGAACTTCTCCAACCTCTGCTGGAAAAACATCAGAGAAGGTCAATCAGGAAAGTGAAGAACTAAATGAATGAACCCGCAATTATTACAGGACATATTTAATAACTCCAAAAAAAGAAAAGGTGCAATAAAAATCCAGTGAAGGTTAGAAATTATAGAAACTACAGTCTAAGATATTATTTTGTAAATCATTTGCAATGATTTAACAATTTGGTATAAAACCAATGCAAATCATTAATACATATAATTTTTTTTGTTTGTTTGTTTTAGTTCCTTTACTGCGTATAAAGCATTAGAACTATGTGCAAAATTAGGTTGTTTTATTTTTTAAATCTAACTGCATATAAAGCATTAAAACTGTGCAAAATTAGGTTCTTTATTTTTTTTATCTAACTGCATATAAAGCATTAAAACTGCGAAATTAGGTTCTTTATTTTTTTATCTAACTGCATATAAAGCATTAAAACTGTGCAAAATTAGGTTCTTTATTTTCTTTATTTTCTTAGGTTCTTTATTTCTTTAATCTATCTGCATATAAACCATTAAAACTGTGCAAAATTAGGTTGTTTATTTTTTTTATCTAACTGCATATAAACCATTAAAACTATGTACAAAATTAGGTTTTATTTCTTAAATCTAACTGCATATAAACCATAAATATGTCAAAGATTAGTTTTAAGCCCTAACCATATAAAAAGCCTCATATTTCTGTTTTTTTCGATGTTTCTGTTTGAAAAAGTCAACTATTTTCCATCCTTCATTGTTTCACTTGTATTTTAGTTTAGATTCAGGTCACAGTAATTGTGCAGTAGAGGTTTGAACTGGCAGGAATTTGGTGATACATTGAGTATTACTGTACACGTGTCTCGATATGACAACCATAGTGTAAAAAAGACAAATGTTGTGATTTCAAAAGTAATATAGCTCTGGAAAACCTGAGCAGATCTGTTGATCTGCTACAGAGCAGCTAATAACCAAACCAAAAAAACGAACTTCTTAAAGGAAAATGCTAAGGCATGCTCATTACCAAGTCGGCTTTATTGTCAGTTTCTTTACATTCACTGGTCATACAAAGAATTTAAATTACGTTTCTTAGTTTCCCATGCAGACATAGACATACTGTAAAATACAGACATAGACATACTTTAGACATAGACAATAAAAAGAAAATATATACAGACTTACCACATACAGACATTAAAGTGCAAGACTGAAATATAGAACAGATATTAAAAAAAAAATCCAAGTCATTACCAAGTCGAGGGATATAAGAAAACAAAACAAGATAAAATAATTTATAGAATATAAAAATCATGTATAGGAAAAGGTTTAGGTTAGAAACTAGTACAGCCGTAAGACTTTATAACCACCACTGTTCTCAACAACCTCAATAAGTTGCTACATTCATGCTGATTTTGCACTGTTTGTATCTCAGTCAGTTGAATAATATGCTGTTGTCATTTTGATGTTGCAGCTATTTTTAACTATCCATAACTGTAAAATGTCCATAGCTGTATAATTGTTATTTATTCTCCAGGTGCAAAGTTTTATATTGTTAAAACTCTTTACAGATCAGTCATTTATTGTTTATCTTTTATCTCTTCACTGTTATGGTATTCTTATACATTTTTCTAAGGTCCACATTTGTGTGACCATTATTTCTATAATCTTTTTGCTGCTGTAAACACCAGAATTTCCCCATTGTGGAACAATAAAGGGATTTTCTATTCTGTCTATGTACAGATAAGGTAAAGAAATATCCAGAAAATTTGAGAATTAAACCATCAGGTGTTGACAGAACTTGGACAGAAAGCCGATGAGAACATTACCTCATTAGTTGCCTAATTACAGTTTCCCATGCTGTCCACGTCCACAAATGCTGAAACAGGAAAAAATAATCCCACTGCTAAACAAAAAAGAGAGTGCCTTTTCCAGTTCAAATGGTTTTTCTCACTGGAAAAAATCAAAATCTAGATAAGTCATTGCTTTTTTTTTTTTTTAAAGTGCATTTGTTCTTGAATTGAGAAGGTAAAAGAGACATTTTGCCAATGGAACAAGGCAATTTACATTTAAAATAAGAAAATGCATTTGTATTGTCCTATTTGAAGTGCATGTTATCTAAATATCTTATTTTAAGCATAAAAATACTGATTCCATACTCTCATTTATCAACTCAAATTAAGGGTAAATACACTTAATTTCAGACATTTTTACTTATTTCTAGAACGTTTTTTCCAGTGGTGTTTGGAAAATATCATTTAAACAAATGTGTTTAAATAATGATGTATGCAGAGGATTCAGTTATATTAACATCTGCATTAACTCATAACTATTATGAATAAGGAAATTAAAAGAGTTGTTAGATGAGTTAAAGCAAATAAAATGGTCCTGGATATACCTAAAACTAGATGATTGTAGGATCAAATCATGATATTGATAGGAACCCTTTACTAAATATTCACATGAATGATCTCTGTAGACCAAACCTCTGGCAGTTACTGCTGACAGCAAACTATGACTGACATGACTGCAAAGGCGATTTAGATGATGCATCAGTTATTGGACATAAAACTATATGAATTTTAATATCTGAAGATTAGTAATTCAGTCGCTAATATTATCATTGGAAACATAGATAACACACAGCTCAGACAATTTAAAGAGCTTCATCAGGATTGATGTATAAGATGCACAGGAAGCTGAACTGGTCATAGATAAGATAAGACTATATAAAAAAGCTACGATTATTGATAAAAAAATTAACGTAAGTTTTACTGAAGACTACATTAATAATGTTCAGATCTCTCAGTCAAATACAACTCTAAACAAATATGTTTTTTTATCTAGATTTAAAAATATTGAGGGTTTTAGATCTTATTCCAGATTAGTGGAGCAGAAGAACTAAAAGTTGCTTCTTCATGTTTGGTTTTGGTTCTGATCCAGTAGAGCTGAAAGGTCTGGCTGTTGATCCACTGCCAACCAATCTGGAATGTATTTTGGAGCAAAGCCATTCAGTGATTTCAAGACTAACAGAAGGATTTTAGAGTATATTATCTGAGATAGTGGGAGCCATTAGAAGGTCTTTAGAACTGGAATGATGTTCTCCACTTTCTCAATTCTAGTGAGGACGCAGGCAGTAGCATTCTGGATCGGTTGAAACCACTTTTTAGGCAGAGCTGTGAAGACACTGCTGCAGGGAACAATTCTACTAAAGGTGAACGAAGCAGGAATTAGTTTTTTAACATCAGTCCTTTAATCTCGGAGATTAGTTGTTTAGGTGATAGAAGGCCGGCTTAGTTCCTGTCTTTGTGAGCCTCTGAAGGTTCAGGTCTGAGTCCATCACTACACCCAGATTAGAACCTGATTCCTGGTTCCTAGCTGGATTTACTGAAGCAGGGTGCTAACTTTTAAATGCTTTTTTTTGTTTTTCCAAAACTATTCTTCACAGCTGAGTGTCATCGGCATAGTTATGGTAGCATGTTCTTGTTGTTTATTTAGATCTTAGTTAGGATGAGCATGTAGAGACTGAATAAGAGCCTCTAATATGGATCCTTGGGGAACACCACATGTGATTTTTCTGGTCTCTAGTGTAAAGTTATCTACCGAAATGGGAATAGTCCCTGTCCTTCAAGTAGGATTCAAATCAGTCCAGCTCTGGACCAAAAAGGCAGACCCAGTTTACCAGGCACTCTAATCGTATTGAGTGATAACTCCATTCATACTATATGCTTTTTGTATCTCTGCTTCTGTCTCCTTGAACCCCGGTCATCCTCGGCAGATGGCCGCTCACACTGAGCCTGGTTCTGCTGGAGGTTCCTTCCTGTTAAAAGGGAGTTTTTCTTTTCCACTGTCGCTACAAGCATGCTTAGTGTGAGGGATTGCATTGGAGTCAGTGAGTTGATCAACTAGTTTTCCTTAGATAGAAAACTTTGAATCAATCTGACTGTATGATCTGGTTGAACTGTAAAGTGCCTTGAGGTGACTTGTGTTGTGAATTGGCGCTATAGAAATAAACTGAATTGAATTGAAATATCATGATGAGATATTTACCTGTTTGAAAGATGGGGACCTTTATGTGACAGTAGGTAGCTTAAATCAGACACCAGAAAAATCGTGTGATGTTTCCTAAAGAGTTGAATGAAGAGCTTTGGAGATTCCACTAGTTTAATACTTTAACTTAAACCGTTCCACAAATCTGGACCGTTGCTGCTCTGGTTAAGTTTTTTAATCTGGTTCTGTTCGGTTTTCAGACATCTGAATCGGGTCTGCTCCAGTTCCTCTCTTCAGATTCTTATTATTGATGTTCCTCTCCGTGGCAGATTTAGGACCAGGATGTTCGGCGGAGTGTCAGGACGAATCCAACATGAGCGGGACCGAGCCGGAGGCTTGGGCTCGGCCCAGCAGGCGGTAAAGTTCATGAACCAGGACTTCCAGGCCTTAAAGGAGGAGTGCCTTCAGAACAGAACCCTGTTTCAGGACCCCATGTTCCCGGCAGAACCTGCCTCGCTGGGCTTTAAGGAACTTGGACCTCTCAGCGCCAAAACCAGAGGAGTGGAATGGAAAAGACCCACGGTAAGAACCAGAACCAAGACCAGCCTCAGTCAGAGTCAGTGATTGGCTGCTCATGTTTCCTCTCAGTGACAGGAAGTGAGGTCATGCTGGTGTTATAAAACAGATATACTTGTTTCTGATTGGCTGTTCCAGGAGCTGTCAGCTAACCCTCAGTTCATTGTGGGCGGAGCCACCAGGACTGACATCTCTCAGGGGGCGCTGGGTGAGTCTGTCTGGAGTTCATGTGACTGGAATCTCAGACTATTGATGGATATTTGGTGGTCAGGGTTAAAGATCAAAACATCCCATAAAAAGGTGGACATTTATATTTAGCATTTACTCTAAATGTGTAGAAAGTTCTTTAAATAGCAGAAATTTGACAATGAATATTTTTCAATTCAATTCAATTCAGTTTATTTCTATAGTGCCAATTCACAACACAAGTCATCTCAATTCACTTTACAGTTCACCAGATCATCCAGTCAAATTGATTCAAAGTTTTCTATCTTAGGAAAACTAGTTGATTGCATCGACTCATTGACTCGAATGCAATTCCTCACACTAAGCATGCTTGTAGCGACAGTGGAGAGGAAAAACTCCCTTTCAACAGGAAGAAACCTCCAGCAGAACCAGGCCCAGTGTGAGCGGCAGATGGCCGCTCACACTGGGCCTTTATTTATTTTTATTTCGGTTTTATTTTCGTTTTTATATTGAGCGGCCAATAAATCAGATTGTTTTTGTCTCCTGAGTTCACCAGAGAGAATGGAATCCATCTTTTCTGCTTTTCTGCTCTTTTTTTTCCTGAACCCGTCTAGAAACCAAAATTTTGCGGCCTTCTTAGATCTGGTTCTGATCCGCAGCTCTGCAGGCCTCTGGAAGAATTGATAGATGTTGAATTTCTACGGTTATAGAAACGGTCAGTTCTCCGCCTTAAACAGAGGCAGCAGTATCGTTCCAGAGTTTGATCCAAATTTGGTGAAATGTCCATCAGGTTTATTAAAGCTGTCTATGCCTCAACCAATCAGAGAGGTAGGCTCGCCCTGCTAAATCAGCAAATGATCTGAACTTCTGCTTTCACTATCCCCAGCATGCATTGGGACCTAACCTGTTGAACCGGTGGCTGTTGACACAGCTTTCCAAGAACAGGGAGGGACACAGGGAGCTTTTTAAGAACAGGGAGGGACAAAAACATCTTTCCAAGAACAGCAGCAGGTGCGACGGAAGCTCTGTGGTAGGTCAAGCTTCTCTTTGTTTGCTTTAAAGCTGCAGGTGAGGCTGTTTCCACACCTAATGATGAGAAATTTGATTGTGTGTTGACATCAGGCATCCTCTAGATCAGAGGTGTCAATCTCATTTTCATATCAGGCCACTTTAGAATAAACAGGTCTTACACACGCCGCTTTGTTTTATAAGATATAAATATAAAAAATATAACCGCGGATGTCTGGGGGACAGTGATTCGCCTACATGTTATGAATGCTGGCGTACCATAAATAATAAATTATTAACAGTTTAGTTTGTGCCTTCAAGGCATTGCCCAAAGGAAGACGTTACCTGGATTACAAAACCGAATATCTTCAGAACGGCTCCAAATGATACAAAACTCATATGGATGAGTGGAATATGATGTAATAACGTAAAATCAAGGGCCCAATGTAAAAAAAAAACGGTGTTCCCCTTTAACTCCTATGCATTTAGCAGTGTTATCCATCTTTTTGAACTTTAAAGAGCACATGGCTCTATTTCAGAGATAAACCAATACAGTTTTTTTTAAGGATGATGCTAATTCTGATTATTTCTAACCAATCACCGATGTGCTGCTGATATTTTTGGGTCAGCTCTCGAAGCCTGTATTTTTTTTATTTTTTTTGTCCTGCATTTAAGTGGTAAAAATGACGCAATGATAAAAATGTTATAAGTATCAATTTAAACAAAGAAATTATAACAAATCCAACAAAAGAACAACGTAGAGCAAATGGAGGGAATGTGAATAAACACACTACATGTAACCTTAAGGTATGGCTGCTGAATGCACTGATGTATCGGTAAACACATGTAATGGTCGACACCTATGCAAGAAAAAACATTTTTATATTGGTGGGGGGAAAAAAAGGGTTAATCTGTCTACATCTGTTTGATGACCAATAACTGTCTTGGTTCTTGAGGGCCAGAAGATTTACCATTAGGGGCCGAATTCAGACAGTGGGCCTTGAGTTATACATGTGTGCTTTTAATAAACGAGGAGCCCAGTGGACTGCAATGCAGCTCCATTAGTGACAAACTGCTGCACCCTAGATGCGCAAAGGATTAGCGTTATCACAGATCCTTCCTTCCAGCAGCTGGTAGACTTTAAAACTATCACCGCTCCAACCCAATAAGTAAATCATTCACATGTTTCCAGATTATTCCATATAATCAATTTTAGTAATCAAAAAGACTTACTAAGCTAAAAAAAAAATCTACTGTCGTTCATAACAGTGTAGCTTATTTTTTATATTTTTACATACCTCTGTGTTTTGTTTTTACCACCATTCATTGGAAGCCCATTAACCAATGTATCCCTTTAAAGGCTTATTCTGCACTTTTACTGTTCTGTTTATCATCCAGGAACTTCAAACACAACCCTTGACAAAATGTCATCAGAGATTCATAGAACAAACAGGGACTCTGTTCTGATGAATAATTTATATATTTACCAATAATCCTAAATAATGCATCAGTGCAGGAGCCACTTAGAGCAAACAATTAGATGTTTTCACATTTTAAACATGTATTATACATCCAGATCCTCTTCCAGATGCAGCCTGAAGAGGTAAACAGCAGTAAACATCTGAGAAACGCAGCATAACAGAGAGCACCTGAAGGCAGCACGCATTGATCTGACGGCGGCGTCTGCTGATGGAGCTTCCATTAGAGGGAACCATCTGCGGCTCTCAGCTGAACGTAATGAATCATCACTGTTATGATGGACTGCAGCAAAAACACTTCCAGGAACATGAGCTTATCTTCCTCATCTCGCACTCATCATCATCATTTGATCTAAGGCCAATTTAGAGTGGGACTCCATCCTTTTAACAGAACCAGTTGGGACAGTTTTAACCAGGCCTGCAGCTGAGCTCTACATGTGGGTTCTGCTTCAGCTGACTAGAACTTCCAAGGTTAGAGCAGCTTTCAGAAGGAGATGATGGAGAAGCTGAGCTGCTGCGGTTTAAGGTTGCTTCAGGTTTTCATGCAGATCTTGCTCCCTCTGCTGGTCACAGCAGGTGGAAACAGGTGTCCTACATGAGCTGTAGAGCTCCACAGGCAAGACAGGTGTCTACGGAGACAGCAGCTTATTGAGGCCCCCTGGTCTTGCATGGATCACCTGAGCAGGTGACCTGTCAGGTGACTGTTCTCCTTGTGTCTGTCCTCCAGGGGACTGCTGGCTGTTGGCTGCTATCGGCTCTCTGACTCTAAACCAACGGCTGCTCCATCGGGTGGTTCCTCATGGACAGAACTTTAACCATCCGTATGCTGGCATCTTCCACTTCCAGGTGAGGTCCTACCTGTCAACAAACCACACCCCCTGTCCTACATAAGGGATGAGGGGGGGGACTGTAGATTGGATCACTGGCTCAGCCTGTCTCTCTCCGTCTGTCCTTCTTCTCCTCCTTGTGCAGTTCTGGCAGTTTGGGGAGTGGGTGGACGTGGTGATTGATGACCGGCTGCCAGTTAAAGATGGAGAGCTGCTGTTTGTCCATTCAGCAGAAGGAAGCGAGTTCTGGAGCGCTCTGCTGGAGAAAGCTTACGCTAAGTAGGGACTGGGACCATCCATCCATCCATCCATCCATC